GGAAAGAATGCAACTTTTAAGTCACTTTTAAACTGAAAGAAAAGCAATCACGTGTGCTGTTATGCATAACCTTATTCGCACAGAGACTTCCATTAATATTCGGACACTTTTTAAAAGGCAATAACTTTTTTAAAATTGAAATAAACGATTTGAATTTTTTTTTAGATGACAAAGGTATTACCAAGATTAAAAAAGAAATTTTTTTAATTTTTGTTACAGGCTCAGATAAAAAAGTTGCATTCTAAGCAATAGCAAAATTTAAGAAAAGCATTCTAGTTATGGTCTAACAGGCTGATCGCTCTATCATCTAAAAAAAAATTCAAGTCGTTTAGTCCAGTTCTAAAAAAGTTATTGCGTTTTGAAAAGTGTCCAAATATTAACGGGGGTCGATGGATGTAAAAGTTGAATTAGCGCGAAATTTTTATATATCAAAATTGCACTTCGGAAGAAAAAGAACAGAGGAATAGAATTCTGTAATCTCCGGATCGGATGGTATCTCGTCCGTGTCAGTAAGAATTGAATGGCATAGAGGGATGTGATAAGAATGCCATTCGAAAGAGACCCACAAAGTTCAGTTATAAAGGGGGGATACTATAGGCAGTTCTATACTTCTTATCTCCAATATGTACCCACACCTGTTGAATGGCGATAAAACTATAGAAAAGACGATTTTATAACTTCAATTATTCGTGGAATCTATTTTGAAAGCGAGAAAGTTTTCGACAAATATTTAAGTAGCTTCTGTTTTATCTACAAATTCCGGGTATTTGTTTCCTACGTGATTCATTCGTGAGATTACGATAATAACGCCAAGAGGTAAACTTATTGTTAGATTCCAATCCATTTTTCCTTTGACTATTTCCTTAAATGCGAATTCTAGCCAACGCCTCGCAGAGCGATTCGTATCTGTTGAATAACAAGCAGTGCGGTTCGGGCGATGAGTTTTAATCAGTTTCCTAGGTAACAATTCGAATTCTAGTAGTTCTAAAATGGCGGTCCTGGTCTTAAGCTTAGGTGCATTCCATAAGCAGTACTTTGAATCTCAAATCGATAGTACATACAGTTAGACTATGTGTATAAGAGCTCTATCAACTAAATGCGGCGGTACGTACTTTCAGAATGCAAACCAAGGCGCTTTCGGCAATTGAATAGTATGCGCGTGTAATTGTTAGACCGAATCACTTTTTTTTTCTTTTTAAATAGTTCGAGTTTTCAAACAGTCCCGCAATATTTTAGCCATGTCACATGATATTTTAATACCTATACAAAAATAGCAAAGATAACAATTTGATTTCGGACCAGAATTATGCAAAAATCGTTACGCTTGCGCTAAAAATATTCATACAAACGAAGGGAAGGGAAATAATTGCGTTCATAACGAAAGAAAATTTGACAGAATATGCACGTGTAATTAAAAAAATTATGCTACTTTCAAAATTTGCATTTCTTACACTTTTTTAGTCATCCAAGTTTGAAAAATTGATAAGGAAGATCGATAAACAAATTTCAAAATATCGTAATTTACTTGATTGTCGACTATTTTCTTTTGTTAGCACCTGCTATAACCAAACTCGTACTAATTAAGAATCTTACACGATCTCTCATTTCAGATAAACAAAATAGCTTTCAAAGTAGTCAGTGCCACCAATTTCAACTTCTTTTGACACAAAAATGTCGTAAATATTATTGAACCAAGCATAAATAAACCTTGCAATTATTATCTTAAACAGTGTGTTTTTAACTTTATTCAGGAATTTGTTGCAAAGAAACTATTATACCTTTTACGATCAAATCGATTTGTACGTATTTTAACGACGTTTCCCAGTTTTTTGGAAAAGAAGTTAAAATTAGTGGCACTGCATATTCTGAAACAATTATATCCCCGACTATATCGCCGTCAAGTTTCGTTCCTTTGCAATCAAACTTTCAGAGAATATTCTCGAAACGTTCTACCTTCGCAAAGAATCAAAACCTAAAAATTAATTTTTTGAAGATTTCTGATCCAGCAGAACCCCATAAAGTAACCGCTACTTGTATTGTTATGAAGGGTAACACGTTTTTCCAGAGTTCAGAAAGTGGTTGAGAGGTCGGTGCTTACCTTTCGAAGCATTTGTCGTTGGGTCACGGATTCGAGAGGGTCTTCTTGGTGTAAAGTACGCGCTTTAATGGGTCGTATCAGTCGACTTGGGGACACGTCACTATCTGCTGTCAGCTGAGGAGTCGTTTATCGAACCGAAGGCGTTGAGAATATTTCTGGAAGGTTTATAGTTCTAACGTCTCTCAATAATACCACATTATCAACAACCGTTTTGCCATTGCGTTGGTTCCTTTCTACGAATCACCTTTTTATGAAAAGCAATAATATTGAATAGCGGTAACAACAGCGAAAGCCAATTGTCACAAGATATGCGACGGTAAAAACAAAAACTGTTCGAAATGATTGTCTTATTCACAACTTGAAACAGTGACTTCAAACGTACGGAAAACTTCGTTGTCCCTTGGATTTCATATTTCTTCGTGTCATGCAAAGGAAACTCATTGCACGCTTTTTATTATACTCGTATTATATGAATGCCGTTCAGATTATATTACTTGTATTTAGATTACATTCATATTATAATTCATGTAAATATCTTGGTAGATCATATTATTCGTAAATAAATACAGATGAAGAGTTAAAAAATTTTACAATTTTGCAAATATATAGATAGATATAAAAGATTCTTATTCTCATTGGTCAGCGTTTCTCGTTAATAACTCGTAAACGAAGCTGCGGATTTCATTTACGCTAAGGAAAAAATTATTTCCCGGTTTTGAGTGACTTTTGGGACACCATGCATATACAAATCGGGGACGAATCAGGTAATTGCAAGTTAATAGGAGATATAGAATACTATAACTACTAATGTTAGATTTTTCGAAATCAATTGGACATCCGTGAAATCTCCTTTATTAGTGTTTTGACTATCAAAAAGTGTTTAGTAATTTATTATTAAATTTATTAATTTCAACAATTTGCAAATAACGATTTCGATTATTACGATATCGTAAATTAAATTAAATTAAATTAAATTAAATTATATAAATTAAATTAAATTAAACCATTTTTTTACCAACCAAAATTTAATTAAATTTCTCAACAAATTGTCACTGGAGTTGAGAAATAGATTCTATTCAGTAATGCAAATAGAAAAACAATAGTTATCATCGGGAAAGCTGGCTTCTAACGGTGTCTAAAAGGCATTACTTACAAGTACCTACCCCGAATACATCAAAATTACAATACCAGCATAATGAGCAATTTTCCAAATTGGACATAGAAATGCAATTGGATGTTTCAAGAAGCAAAGGTAAAGGCTTTTGTTATCTCGTGCTTCTTCACTGTCCCAATCTTATTCGTCTCAGTTTATTCTGCTGGTGCCTCTACTCCCTGTGGTAAGGTAAATAGATCTTCGTGCCTCAAGAGTCAGGCCGACTTCTTAGGGTACAAAGATACAAAGAAACTATGCGAACGGAATACAAAGAAATACATTTTTATTCTTTATCGATAGCGACAGAACAGCTGAGAGTTGAGTTCATTCCACTCGTAACCTTTATAACAGTTACTTCGTGGTTTTTGCTATTTACATCAATTTTCATATTTTATGTTTCCTTTTGTTTGTTTTTAGTCGACGTTAAGCTAACAATGTAGTAATTAAGAACAATGCGAAATATACTTGACGCATCGATTAGAAAAATATTATATTTGTTTTTCAGTGTTCGAACATTCAAAATGAATGTAAACAAGCTGCTAGACAATGACAAAACTACTCTGTTATAATTTTGCTATTACTTAGAATGACAAAACGAAATAAAAGATTCTCGTTTTTTAACTTTTCATCGGAGCCTATATTCGATAAGCCTATAATTAAAAATATGTAGATCTTGGTAAATTATGTGCATGCTGGAAATTTCATCGAAATCGGTTAACGCAAAGTCAAGTTACAAAAATTAGAAGATTATAAAAACTGCAAATTTTCTGCGAAATTTTTGAATACGTTTCACAAGCATTTTAACCTAAATCGTAGGAGAAATATTTTTGTTGTAGAATGTAAAATTGCCATTTTCTTGTGACGTCTAATATACACGTTTTAATATACACGTCGTCCACAGCTGAGAGGTTAAAAAAAAGGACGTGACCTTAAAATCTTTAAAATTTTTCCGCCTGTAGAAAACTGAATACTGTCACATTACGGCCCCCTTCAAACCATACAACTTTTGTTAATAGAACTTTTTGTATCTCAAAAAATAACTCAGATATTCTTCTAGGCGATCAAAGTTATTGCCCCAAGCTGTATATTAATCACGTCTAACAAGGGAAGGTTGTCAGGGTTGATGTTCACTTTTCGGCGAGATATGTTCTGTTAACGCTAGATTTACGAAACCCGTCAAAATGACGGGTCACTAATTTTTTAATTTACGATTATTCATATCGTAAAGATTCATGCATGAGTTATTTATTCAATTTATATTTACGGCAAATATTATACTAACACTTGTTAAAAATCAGAATAAATGTCTTATTGTTACTTTTATAAACTAATATAAAACAGCTATTTTTTGTGCTCCGTAAATCTAGTGTTAAAGTTGCTAATAAAAGACTAGAAAGGCGCCCTGGATTACGTAGCGTGGCACCCGGGGCAGAAAGTGGGGGGTGCCCTGCACGTTCACAATAAGGCGAGCTACCTGATCGCGACCTGCGAGGCACCTCCCACTTCCTGCCGCGCGGTGCCTGACTGCGTAATCCAGTGCGCCTTTCTGGCCTGTTATTAGCAACTTTAACATTACATATCTCAAAAACTATAAGTCGTTTACCCCCCAAAACGGGTATCATTGGATTCAGCATTGCAAACTCTACCACTGTACCAAATCTCGTCAAAAAGTGAGCGTCAACCCTGGCGACCTCCCTTTGTAAATTATACATACTGTCGAAAAATTACGAATGATATTTGATGTTTAAGGTACTCTCAAGAGAAGGACTCTACAAGACGGGAGTCGTGTGAACACGCGGGCCATGCCCTTGGTCATCCCCCGCAGGTCAACAACCAGGCTGATATTTGTTAAGGTAATTTCAAGATTATTATTAAGATAATTTAAACAACCGTGTTTAAAATTTTGTGGTTTACCTACGTACATACATTGAATAGTATGTACGATAAAATGGACCGTTTATTTTGAAAGTGGTGCAAGTCCACTTTCTTTCGTTTCGAGAAAATTAAATGTTAGCAGATCTGACAATTAAAAAATATAGGTTAATTATGTGAAGTCTGGGAATGTTTGTACTAATTTATCAATATATAATTTGATTATATAAATTTCTTTTAGGCGAATTTAACTAAAATAATATACAATTTTCAGGCTGCAAATGGACTTACACCACTTTCATAATTAGTCAATTGTAAATATCATTTAATTTCAATTTTGAAATAACAAATATCACTTAAAATATATCTTATATTAATCCAATTTTGTTTATAAATAATAACAAGAAATACAATAGGATTAGCATTTTTTATTTTGAACGTTAATTATATTTATATATTGTTAAACTTAACACAAGATATTGGTATTATTAATTATTTATGCTCTTCATGTGGCAGTGTTTTGAAATATTCATGATGCACAGGAGGTATATAAGGT